TCTGTTATGCTATCTTTTTTTTTTTTTTTTGTTTTTTTGAAGCAGGTCTCCCCATAGCCCCAGCCATCTTAAAATAGAGAAATGAATACTTTGATAGGAGTTGATAGAATATCCAGGTTTCTTTACAAGGTTTATTTATTCGTATGTGCCTGTGTTAAATGAGTACCCACAGGTACAGAAAACTTCAGAGCCAGAAGAAGGTGTTGGACCCTTTGGAGCTTGAGTTCTAGTCAGTACTGAGGCACTTGATGTGGGTGCAGGGAACAGAACCCCAGTCCTCTGTAAGGGTAACAAATACAGTCTTAACTGCTGAGCCATGTCTCCAGTCCCAAATTTCCCATTTTTACTTTATTTCCTACACTCCCAAAATCCAGTGGAAGACAGGCAAAAGCTTTCGTTTAGTATATTGAAAATGAGTTATTCAAAATGTCATTTAGCAAAACATGTTAGATAACTAGTGAAAAGACCATTTGATAGTCCAATAAGTTTACATTAATACATTGAAAATCTACATCTCAAAATTAAACCTTCACACAATTGATTTTACAGAAAGTATACTACCAAATTTATCTTGTTTCATTCTAATTAACCATATATCCATTTGTTAAAGTGTCAACTAAAATTGATATTGCCTTGTCATTTCAGTTAAAATGAAAATAATTACTCTTCAAAAAGTTTGTGTAAATTTTAAATTGTTCAAACAAAAATTCACTTACAAGTTTAAATGATTTTAAGTTGGAGCATAAATCTATGATAGTGTTAATTGTATCAAAAAAGGTTTACGAGTTGACAGTTTGGCTGAGCTGAGTGTGGTCATTGTGGCCTTTAATCCCAGTACTCTGGAAGCAGATGCAAGTGGATCTCTGTGAGACTGAGGCCAGTCTGGTCTACATAGCAAGTTCCAGGCCAGCTCAATTTGTCTGAAGGACTTTACTGATAGAGTACTTTGTGAACAGTATAGACATAAAATTCACTACTATCAAATGCTTACAAAACCATCTGGTAAAGCATAGTATGTAATGAGAGATTTGAACCAGACTAAAATAGAATTTTCTCTTATGCAGAAAAACAACTATATAGGAAAATATTATTTTCATTTAATAACTAAGGAAAAAGACTCCTTACCTTGGCCTAGAAAGATAGACATTTTAAACTATAACCAATATAATTCATGGAAGAAAATATAATACTGACAAAACCATCATTCAATCTTGATTTCTTTTGCTGTCTTACCTTTTATTGGATTGTTTTGGAAGAAAGTGGTTACCTGATCACAATTGCTTCTCATTCTTATTAAACTATACTATATTTTATCAGTTCTTTGAGGTATAGCTAATAAGGCACAAAGCATCTTAATACATTTTTCTTTCAGGTTTATATTTTTTAATTGCTTTTTCTACATTAAAATGTTTTATGTGAAAAATGTTAATGTGGTTCATTATCTGATTTTGTTTTGATTAAAAATTGTTGCTAATTATTGCTCTAACTAAAGGCATTGTTAAACATTGCTGCACTGTATTTCTGCATTTGTATATGAATGTGTTTTAGCACTTAGAATGATGGGCTACATAGTGAGATGTTTCCTCAGAATTTAATAATTAAAAAACAAGTCTTTAATCCCAGTAGTGGGGAGGGAGAGTCAGGCATTCTTCTGTGATAGCGAGACCATGTCTTAAAGAAAAGGAAAGGATAACTCCTCATAAACCACAATTCCTAATTATTTATAATCAAATATACTTTGTGATTCTATAGTCATGAATTCCCTTTTTTTACACATTATACATTCCTTTTACTCTTTTTGTAGGTTTGGAAAAAGTGCCCATGGACCTTCCCCCTGACACAACCCTGCTGGATCTGCAAAACAACAAAATAACTGAAATCAAAGATGGGGACTTTAAGAACCTGAAGAATCTTCACGTAAGAATTATTTTATTTACTTATTTTATGTTATTGATTATAACAAGATATGACTCAAAAAATTTCAATTACAGTCCTATACAAGACCAAAATTAGCCAGAGTAATAAAACAGCACATGTAAGAGCATCAAATTCTCTTCTTGGAGATGGTGAGTAAACACAGCAACAAATGAAACAATCACTAAAAAATACTCCTACATATAATCTATACCTCTTCTGGTTTTGATTGAAAATCCATGTTAACTCAATTAGGTTGCATTTTATTAAATAAAACACAAATATACATTGATCACAGTATTCTTTTATGCTTTCAATTCTTTGATTCATTCTCTCTCAACATAAGGAGGTTTCCATGACCATCAAAATTCTCAGAGAATAACCATTAAATTCACTTGTTACCAACAGCATGAGATAAATGCAATTCTACATATATACATATTTATGACTTTCTACTTAGGATTAAGCATGCTGCATTCTTTTCTTTATTTTTACTTATCTCTATGTAATATCCAACCTGATGGTCAAGAATCCATCAGAGAAGAGATGGCACTTTCAAAACAGTTTTAAGGAGGACACCTCACTGAAGGGAATGTTTACAGTGGGGTCTGGGGTTTGGGAAGTAACAGGCATTGTGAAGCATTCCTTCTTGAAGAACTAGTGGGTGTGAGAACTATGGGCATATCATTAGAGGGCCTTGTGCCCTGATTTCTCATAATGGTCTATGGTTGAATCTTAGAGGACCATGAAGGCAGTAGTTTGAAGAAGAGGTCAGCTTCCATGGCCACAGAGAAGTAGCAAAGAGGACAACGCAAGAGCATTGTTGTAGTGGGAAGAGTTTTGTGACCAACTCAGTCAAATAGGGTTAAGCTTACTAAGGCAGCCCTCTGAGACAGTAAATGCTGGGCCTGTTCACAAGACACTGGGATAACCATCAAACTTACCATTCTTCAGCTTCATTCCTATGGGATAAATATGTTGTAGTTCCCTCTTCAAATATGAGCACATATTTAATATAAGTAAGTCAGGCATCAATGTCTAAAACATGTATGCTATGAAAATTTCAGTGTCTGAGCTGGGCCACTATTGAAATCCCAGGTATGATCCTTGACAAGACATGTCAAAATGGCAGTAGAGAGCATTCAGATAAGGGGAGCTGGAGAGATGACTCAGTAGCTAAGAGCACTTACTGTTCTTGTTGAAGCCATGAGTTAGATCCCAAGCACCCACAGTGAGCAGTTCAAAATTGCCTCTAAATCCATTTTCAGGAGGATCCACTGCCTCTGACCTCCACAGGTACCCAACTCACATGCACTCATCCTTTCCCTAAAAATTTTTTTTTAAAGTTTTCTTATGACTTCCACAGGTACATCTCAGCACTCACAAATACCACACATAGGCATATGCATGCACACCCCACACATATTGTAATAATAAATAAAATTAATTTTAAAACATTAAAATCATTTAGTGAAGGAAGGGGGGGAAGAATCTGGGTGTTTTGTGTCCTGAGCACAACTGATAGAGATTTGAATGTCTACACTGAATGAAAAAGCAAAATGGATTTGAAAGGCTGTGATAGAGAAGAGGAATTATAAACACTTCCTTCAGTGACAAGATAAAGTAATTTTTATTTTGAGGAGAAACTTCAGGAAAGCATATTTTCATTGAACCTTAAAATTGCAATTTAATAAGAATTTCCAAAAAATAGGATTTCTGGTGATGTGGCATTTTTCTGTGGTGGTAACAGTTCGTGGATGTTTAAAAATAATAAATGCAATAGAAATATAATGTTGAGAGTATTTAATTAACATTTATTTATTTGTTTATTATCCCAGGATTATTGTGGAAATATATAATAAAATAGAAAACATAAAATATAAAATAAACTACCTAGTTTCTACAAAGTAGAAGAAATATATAGAGGCAATAATGTATTATAAAATTAATATAATCAAGATAGATTTAGTTGTGCATTTCTTGGCAGACAAGATGACAAAAGCAATAACCAGCCATGACAATATACCAGATTATTTTAAAGAAGCCAGACATTTTTCATAAGACTAAAAATTTTATATTGAATGTGATAATTAAAGGGTGAGTTAAAATGATATGCAAAATGATATGTCAAAGTGATATGTAAAATGATATGTTAAAAAATTCTACAAATAGTTAAAATGGTGGCACATAATAAAATGCTAAACTAGGAGTTGGAAGGCTGGCTCAGCGTTTAAGAGCACTGGCTGCTCTTGCAGAGGACTGGGGTTTGGTTCCCAGCACCCTATGGTGACTAACAATCATCAGAAACTCCAGTTCCAGGAGATCTGATGCCTTCTTCTCACCTCTGTGGGCACTGCAACACCATGGTACACTTACATGCAGGCAAAACGTCAATCAATCAATCAATCAATCAATCAATCAATATAAATACTTTTAAAATATTTGTCAGTGTGCCCCAATATAAACATACTATCAGTACTGAGTGTTTAGAGAAAAATCAGATGTCAAAGTATAGCAATTATCAGAAAATGTTTGGAGAGAAAATGAGAAAAAAGAGTTTCAGAAGATTAGCCAAATTTAGCAAGGCAAAGAGAAGAAAAGTGGGATTATTGTAGAAGAGAAAAGCAAAGATAGTAGAAAGTGAATAGAAAATAAAAGCATGCGCTGATGAAGTGAGAGTTACGGTGTGCAAATGGTAAAGGAAAAGGCCTGAGCTAGAAAGCCCAGAGCTTGACCACTGTTTCTTTTAGAGCAGTAGGGTGTGGCTGAGCCCCAGACCCTAGTCAGTGCTTTTGTGTTAACGTTTCACCTGGAAAGAGATGAAGGAAAAACCAACAACATTAGCCAATACCTGTCTAAATGATTACTGCAATAATTTCACAAAGATAAGAAAGAGCAAATATCATTAAGTAAATTTTTTTGAGTTTTTAATTTTTTGGAAGTTTTCTTATTCTAGTTCTATATTTAAATAACTAACTTCTTAGTTATTGAAATATAATCCGAATAATTTTTCAAAAGATTTGTTTTAGTATTTTTAATTATATGTATGTGTATGAGTCTGTGTGTGTATATGTACAGACTACAGGTGCACATGGAGGCCAGAGGCATTGGGTTCCCTTAAGCTGGAGTTTCGATCAGTTGTGAGCTGCCTGATATGGGTGATAGGAATCAAGCTTGGTCCTCTAAAGAGCAGTATGCACTCTTAACCACAGAGCCATCTATCCAGCTCTGAATAATTTTTTAAAGCTCTTTATATTCTAAACAGACACACCCAATTTCTGTGACATTCTTGAAATCCGCTATATCTAATAATGAGTGTTTTCTTTCCTCGTCTCTTTGTAGAAGGTTTTAAAGTGGTCATCATCCTGGTGGGCCTTTATTTCTACTTCAAAGTGCCCATCAGAAGAAGAGTTCATTAGAGCCTGCAATCATGCAGAGGATGCTAAACAGATATATTTCCCTTAGTCTTTCATTCACGATCTTTCGCAGCATCCTTGTTATTATGCAAACAGACATCATAATTTTGGCTAGGAAAACTGTACTTGAATGACAATGAGGGAGAGAAAGGAAAGTTTAGTTAAGATTGAAATAGAAAGGATTTAACAGAAAAAGTTATTCTTCTGTTCTCTAATAATTGCATTTATTTGCAACTCTGTAGCTTCTTGCATGAGTAGTTTTATATAGAGAATAAAAATACACACACACACACACACATATATATATATAACACATATATGTATAACTATTTTATACAATAAAAATGAAGTATGGTAATGCTAGAATTCAATATTTTTATTTTGAACTACAGCTTAATAAATGTAATAAGAACAGGGCTTTAAAATAAAAATCAGAAAAGATTGTCAGCTTCTGAATAGAAGCAAATGATTGGTTAGCAGTTGCTGCACTCTAGGCACTGTTCTTATGCCTTAGATGTACATTAACTTAGCCTCATGACTCTCTCTATTCTTGTTCAGTAGACTTAATATTTCTTCTGTCTATATCTGGGGAACAGGTAGAGAGGTATGAGTTGCTTTTTCATAGTCACAGAACAAAGAAGAGTAAGTCTGAGTTTAGAAAGTCAGGAGCAATCTGTGTGAGGACGCCCACAGTAATCACTCATAAATAAGTGAGTGACACCAGCTAAGCCCTCAGAACAATACCTGGTGCATTGGAAGCCCCATAAGAAAGGCTTTCAGGAAAAATGTCTAGATACTGAAAGTCAGATTTTAACACTAAACAGAGTAAACCAGATTTTTAGGGCCACATTCATACAGTTAACCATGTAAAGGTTTTCTTATTATTACCACTGACTGACATTTAAGAATTTCTGCCGTATTTTTAAATTAGGATCCAGACAATTTGTGTGTCTGGCAGTGATACAAACTGCTTTGCTCTGTGTTCTTCTGGCTCTGACTTTGCTGATTTTCCTTGAGGTTTTGCTTGTTAATAACTTCCTGTGAAGGAAGTTATTTCATTAATTAAACAAAATATATTTTAGGTTTAATTAAAAGATTATGTTATCTGGAGTTGAAGAAATGGCTCAGAGGGTAAGAACATTTGCTATTCTTGAACAGTACCGGAGTTTGGTTCCCAGGACTCACCTTAGGTGACTCAGAGCCACCTGTAACAACAGCTTCAGTGAATCTGACACTGTTTTCTGCACCCTGTGTGTATGTGAACCCCCCCACATTTACGTATACACACACACACACACACACACACACACACACACACTAACACAAAGAAAATACAAAGGCAAAACATTTAAAATATTTTTATTGACTCTTTGAGAATTCAGTGTATTTTGATCATATTCAGACTCCTCATCTCCACATACACTTTATCTTCTGACCCCAGAAGATGAAAAGTCCTCCTGTGCTAATGGATTGATAGAACTGATATTGTGAAAATGGCCATCCTATCAAAAACGATCTCTAAATTCAGTGTAATAACCATTAAAATTCCAATATGATTCTTTGCAAAATTGAAAAAGTAATCTTAAATTTCATATGGAAACACAGAAAACTCAAGACAGCCAAAATAATCCTGAACAAAAGTGGAGGAGCTGGAGGTATTGCCATCCCTGATCTCAAGTTATAATACAGAGTTATAGTAATAAAAGCAGCATGGTACAGGCATAAGAATAGACATATTGATCAACAGAATAGAACTGAGGACCCAGATTTAAGTCCAAACACTTATAGCAATCTGATTTTGGAAAAGGAGCCAAAAATAGATATTGGAGATAAGGTAGCATGTTCAACAAATGGTGCTGGTCAAACTGGATAGCTACATGTAGAGAAATGAACTAGGTCCCTATATCATCCTGAACAAAACTCAACTCCAGATAGAGCAAGGACTTTAGCCTAAGACCTGATACCCTGAATATGACAGAGGAGAAAGTGAGGAATTCAATAGAAGTTATAGGAACAGGAAAGGACTTTGTGAAAAAAGTACATTAATCAAATACTGAAAGGCTCGTGAGGATATAACTTGATTGATTAGGCAAATATCACTTTTAGGAAACTTTTTTTTCATTCCTGGGACTGACAGTTCTCTGTCTTGTTACTCTGATCCCTTTCTTGCTCTTTTGTGCTATTGTGAACACAGACACGAATACTACTGTTGTGAGTACATGCTTCTTGGGCCTCCATGAAATGATCCCAAATTCCTTAAGAATAGTTGATAATAATCACAATGAAATTCTGCTAAAACACATTTATATACAAATGCAGAAATACAGTGCAGCAATGTTTAACAATGCCTTTAGTTAGAACAATAATTAGCA